AAATATATAGACAAACAGACAGAATGAGTTTATTATAGTGTCACATGTTAAACATAAAATTATGTTACAGAAGTATGAGCAATTAAAATAATGTTTAGCATCCGGCCATATCCTGGCTTATGAGACACTAGGATATAAAACATATTTATTACACAGGTAAAGCAAGTCCACTAATAAATTGTCTGAGAAGTTTGAAACACAGGCTGAACAGAATATCACTTGAAACTGTGTATAAATCATATATTTTGCCTATATTTGACTACTGTGATATCATCTGGGATAATTGTACCAAGGAGCAGGCTCATCTGATAGAGAAGCTACATTTAGATGCCCTTAGGACTATTTCAGGTGCAGTGAGAGGCACAAGTCACGAAAAACTTTATGCTGAAACGGGATATTGTTCTTTAGTCGAAAGACGCCACTATCATAAATTATGTATGTTCTACAAAATGGTAAATGGGTTAACACCACAATATCTCTCAATATGGGTACCACCAAATGTTTCTAATCAAAGCCTCTATAATTTGCAAAACTCTGATAATCTCCAATGTAATGCAGGGCGTGTATCTTACTTTAATAATTCTTTTCTCCCATCTACTGTTAAGACATGGAATTCGCTAGACATCAATATTAGAAATGTAGAATCATTATCAAAATTTAAGAAATGTATATCTTGTGACATGACATTATCCCCAACATTTAAGAATTATATATCGTATGGTCCCAGGCGAGGTCAAATTTTTCTCTGTCGTTTGCGCCTGGGCTGCAGTGATCTTAATTCTCACTTGTTTGATAGATATTTGTCAGACAGCCGAACCTGCTCCCGTGGGAACACTCGAGAAGATGCTTATCATTATTTCCTTCAGTGTCCTCTATATGATAGGTTTAGATTTAATAAATACTTCTTTCAAAATAATATAAGTTTACATGCAATTCTAAGCGGCGATGAATCTTTGTCCCAGTATGAAAACCAATTAATAATAAAGTCGGTTTACAGTTTCTTAAATGATACCAACCGTTTTCAATAAAGTGTGGTACCATATGCTTTACTTAGTTTGAAATTATTGAACTACTTATTACCACAAATGTACTTATAAAATCCTTCTCTGCAAGATTATGTTTAGGAGAAGCATTTACATAGGCTGATGCAGCCTGTTTGCTGATCCTTTTTCCCTTTTTGTAACTTAATCATGTTTAATGTATATCACATGTCTTTCTGGAAATAAAATACTGTTTAAATCATTACACAGGTAAAAAATAATGGTGTGGTATAAAATGGGTAAAATAATACCCGAGAAAGGGATATAGGGTGTGTGGCGGGAGTTAATTGAATATTTGGCCTGTAAAAAACATGTCTCGGACATTAAGTGCAGTGCGTTTGATATTTTTATTTATTTTTGTCACTCATGGTTTTAACAATTAGGTCTGTGGGGTTTCTGTAAATATATGTTTGTTTAATGTCATATCTGTTGTCTTCATTTAGTGAGCATTCGGAGAGGAAATTAATTTTCAATTACATTTGGGCAAAAGTTGCAAACTCTGTGTTCCAAGGGGTGGAGGGTCTGCTGTAACGTCCAGTTTCAATATGAAGGGGGAGGCTTCCACAACGCACTCTGGATAAGTATTTCCTGAGGGTTCTTGACATTATAGTTCTGAAGTATGTTTCAGGGGTGAGATCCTTTTCAAAAAGTCTATAACAACGAAGCTTGTTTCCATTTGAAAGATTTGATTTATCGTCCCAAAGCTCCTTAAACCTTAAAAATGTATCTTGCAATGTTATTTCTTTTTTCAGCTTTAACATGACCCAGTGTGTGGATTCTGGCATGTTAAGTATGTTGACGATATCAAGTTGCTTGCTGATTTTCAGAACAGTGTTAAAAAATGACTTTTTTCTTCGTGTTGTACTTTCTAAAATCCTGCGTGGTAGTCCGTTAGTTTCATATCATCTTCTGAAACCATCTAAAAGCTTCCAGTCTCTGTTACTGAGGCAGGATTGCCATCCCATTTCTCCTCGAACAGCGCAGTTTGATATACATCATGAAACTCCCAGGAAGAATCTGCAAGCTCTGTTCTGTATATTGTTTATTTCTCGATGACTGTAAAGACCCCAAATTGGAGCTCTGTAGAAGAGAATGGGCTGTACAGTAGTTTCATAAAGTTTTGTGAAAAGTCATAAGCCATGTCCCGACATCTGTAATACTTAGTTATCAACAAGGATAGTGCGCGTCCAGCACTCTTGGCGATTTCCTTTGCCGTCTACTTCATTGTTCAGGTGCTCCTCGAACCACAGGCCTAAGTATTTATAAGCATTAGTAAAATCTAGGAATTTGTTGTTACAGGAAAATACATATTGGGAAGTTGGTATGGACGTATGTCTAAAATGCACAATCTTGGTTTTCTTCTCATGTACATGAAGTCGCCATTTCAAACACCAGTTCGTGACTGCATCAAGCATACGCAGTAGTTTATTTTAAGTGTGGGAGCAAGAAGAACGACGTCATCAGCGTAGAGTAGTAGGGATGGACAGATGCCATCGATCATAACACCGTCCTTCAACTCGTTAATATTGTGGGTAAAGCCGTTGATGTAAAGTCCACCTAGAGTGGGCGACATTAAATCCAAAGAAAGGAGTCATCATGTCGTTAACACGCACAGGACCCTTGATATTGTCGTACATCCACTGTAATGTTTTGAACATTTTACCACTTACCCCCAGCTTTTCTTAGCTGCAGCCAGAGGCAAGATCTATCCACATTGTCGAAGGCTTTTCTAAAGTCTATAAAACATGCAAAAGTTTGTTGTTTGGCGTCCAATCTGTTCTTGAAAACTGAGTACAACTTTAACATGTGGTCGAAACAGCTTCTATTCTTTGGAAACCGTTCTGCTCTGCCACAAGAAAATCAGTAGACTCAAGCCAGGACGTCAAGCGTTGATTCAATATATACTCAGCAGCAAACAAAACGTCAGTACGAATTCAAAATTAGATAGGCACTGTAATCAAATCATTACAGAAATGAACATAACAAGCCGATCAAAAACATTTTTTTTGTGTACAATATCTTGACACATGAATGAATAACTAATTCCAAGGCATTACGTGAACGTTTGCATTCAGACTGTTGACTTCAGTATCTAGTGTGCCCACCACGAGCGGCAATAACTGCAGCACAGCGTTTATGCATTGAGTGCACCAATCGATTGATGAAGAACATTGGCACCTGGAACCACACCCTGAGAAAGGCCTGGCGCAATACATCGGCTGTGTTCAGCCTTGTAATGACATTTTTCAGTTTCCTTTGAATTTCATCCCAAAGATGTTCAACTGGGTTTAAATCAGGACTAAGGGCTGGCCACTGTATAATGTTGACACGGTTCTGCTGTAGGAAGTCCCGTGTAGCTCTGGTAGTATGGGCCCGGGCGTTATCATGCTGTTCCAGTTTTGGTGTTGTAGGGCAAACTGTAGACGTTCACGCCGATGCAGCATGAAACACATGGAGAACACCATACCATCTCCGAGATTAGGTTGCGTTTTTGGGAAGGAAGGTCTTTGCTCAGGTAAAGTTGGAGATGTTGTCAAAAATATACAATCAAAACATAAAGTGAGTTTACTGTTATCCGTTTTTGCGAAGGAAAATTCCAAACTGACGTTTCTTTTGCTGCTTAGTATATTACAGTAAACCTTGCAGCGTATAGATAGTTAACTGTACGTCGACGGGATTCGAATATCTACACACTTTTCATATAGGTCCGTTTCCAGGGCAATGGTGTGAGTTGAGGTCCACATGAAATGTTTCCAGGTGTTCAAAGAAGGGGACGTGTGTGCTGTAAGCATTGACTCTGAACTCCCTTCTGTAAGTTGGAGGTTACATAACTGCCTGATGTACTCGTTGAAAAGTTAGGCTTAATTGTTAATAACAGATCAGAACAGATGCACAAGTAGGTATTGGTGGAGGGTAATGGATCGAAATGTGGAACAAAGACAAATACGTCTGACGTATTTTAACACATAACCCAAACTACCATAAGGCTGTGTACAAACGAAGGGGTTGCTTGAGATAACTTGACCGATAATGTGTGAGTAAGTGAGTAAAGAATGCTGCTTTTATAGCCGCGTCAGCTATTTTGCAACTATTCGCGGCTAGAAAAACAAATATTTTCTCATGAAAGCGAATACAATGAAGATTGCCACTAAATCTAATTCAATGTATATACTAGTATAGTTGGTATATTGCTGTCTACATTGTATGCCTCGCTATATACCTTTTCTAAATCGAAAACAATTGAACGAAGTTGATCATTTACAAAACTAGTTAGTACAAACTATTCTTATCTAACAAGATGGCCAATGGTACTATTCTGAATCCTGAAAGCAAACTGAATGTCAGTTATCAGATTGTTGGATTCCAGATACCAGATGTTAGTCATGCGTTCCATGGTTTAACAGATGCAACTATTCCCTGCATTAGTAATTGACTTACAATGTCATGGTGGAGAGATCAGCTGCACTCCTGTCTGTGTCTGGGATCATTTCTTTGCTGAATATTAGATACTTGTGTGGATAACATTTTACAGAAATGTTCGCGAAGGATATTTGTTTTCATGAGATTAGCTGCTTGGCTCTTCTTGTATATTTTCTTGGAACTGAACCAAATCCAGTTTTAGTTACATTGTTTACAGTTCCAGCAATACTTTGAATAGTTGTTTGTTTGGGTTTTTTAATAGAAGGATACGAAAGTCCCAAAACCTTCAAAGTGCAATTCAACTTACCAGAATATTTAAACGTAGCATTTGTGTGCTTTTAAATTATGACTTAACTTTCGTCCAATCGCCAGCGGCTGAAGGGACGGTATAAATCCATCTAGGGTCCATGCAGGTAGCAAAGGTACTGTAAGTCCCCATGGCCTCTAGTACGGTGATGTACCTTCGGTTGCTGGCGAACTATAGCCCGTTTTTTTAATAATGTATCGTCATCATTTGAAATCCCGTTTTAGAAAAAGATAGTAGTTTTATTTTTGTGATATTCTAGTTGGTTTTACTGTCCTTCGTTGACAGGCTTTTAGTGATTTACGTGTATTTATGATGAAGGTAAAAACTTGTACTAACGATATGGTTGAAATATTGCCGATGTGGCTTTAAATTTTAACTCACTCACTCACCCACCCACCCACCCAAAACCCACTCACTCACTTACTCACTCACTCACTCACTCACCCACCAACTCACTTACCCACTCTAATAGAAAGGAACAAGAAGTTACTAGCCTCTGGAACAATGACTAGAGGCCGGGTTTCACGTTCAGAATAACACAGTCTTGTAATGGTATCTTCCCCATTGACAGTGTCATCTGTATGATAACGTTTGATTTGTTTTGTGAGTTATTATTGTTTTGCGAGTTTTTTTTAGCAGCCATGATTGTATAGTTTTTGTTTCGCCCTCCTGGCTCCCCACACACCATGGATCGTCAACAAGGACGATGCCAAATGCCTGTGAAGCGGCTGCTCTACAAAAGTGCTGGGCCCCGTTCCGCAAAGCTCTCGTAGCGCTACGACTATCGATAGTCAACGTTACAGTATAGGAAGTACGAATGCTACGAGAAACGTTACGAGATCTTAGGCTTACGAGAGGTTTGTGAAAAGGGGCCCTGGCCAATAACTGGTCATGCCGGGACGACTGGTCAAACCATTCGTCTACAGGGCATGGCATGGCCCGAATCCATGTGTCAGCTACAGTTTGTCAATGATCATACTTTTATGGATAAGATCTGCAGTATACTGACCATCTACCAAACCACTCTTGAACTTAACGGTGTAAACTCCTACTGAAGGCATTAAAAATAAGTGCCATAATTAATACAATCACAAGCGTGAGATAATCAGTGAAGAGGCAGTAAAATCTTTCATTTGTTTTTGTTAGCTATTTCTCAGCCATTGCCTGTGATGTACAAATATTTACCTGGTATTATTACTGACATTCTCCTGTTGGTGTGTTGTTTGTTTGTCACACTAATAGATAGGACAAATAATACCTCTCCCGTTGTTTCTCTTCATATAGTATTAAATTCAACAGTTTAGTTAAAATATGTTCTTGCCCATATTTTCAAAATTTGAAAACTTTATGAGTTTGACGGAGTTTAAAAACTTCATTAGAGATAAGTCAAGATCAATCTTCTCTAATTGTGAAGAAATCTGTTCAGTCTAATTGATGCTCGCCTTTCTGTAGTAATAGAGTTTGATTTCTGAGAATTTTCATTGTATGCAAAAAAGGTTTGAATTATTCTTGTCTATGTGAGAACATGTGTTTTGTTTTCCGCTACAATTATGCTTTTTCTAATACAAATATGACAGCACTATTTCAGTGAGAGCGACGTTTCGGTGTAGGTTCTAACATCGTTATCAAGCAAGTGTCATCTATATTGTTATCCTTCTTAAAGAGTGAGTGATTTATATTAACGCCGCTTTTAGCAATTTTCAAGCAATATCACGGCGGGGGACACCAGAAATGGGCTTCACACATTGTTACTCATGTGGGGATCGAACCTTGGTCTTGGACGTGACGATCAAACGCTTTAACCACTAGGCTAAAACCCCCACCCCCCACACACACATGGCGCGCCCACCGGCGAGCTGGCTAAGACCCCAGGTTATTGTTCCAGCGAGCTTGGGGTGTCGGGATCGAGTCCACCTGTGACCGGGTGTAAAAACCTTGGAGTCAACTTTGTATGCCGACTCTTTCAGTGTTGTCACAACCCACAGTGTACAGTACAGTGAACTTGGACAAAGTACTGTGACTATGTGTCCCAGTCCACCCAGCACCCAATGGGTACCTCGTTAGGATGAGAAAGCCACAATAACTCGGTGCGCCTAGTGGCTGCAAGAGTTGTATACTCCCCATGGAGTTGAGATTGATAAAACGATGTGCGGTTGAGATTGACATCCAATGATCGAATACCAGCGCCTTGAGCGTGCACTAGTTGCGTGGGTATGTGCGCTATATAAATATCCTATTATATAATAATAATATTTACAGGAGCATGAAAAAGAAACAGAAACACCCGAACATGTCTCATGATGTGTAGTATGCTTAGATCTACAGAAAAAGCTTTCGACAGACATAATTAGATTACATCGTCTTGACATTCATTTATTATTTAGTTTTGTTCAAAACTGTAGAGGAAAGCTGCTAAAGAACATGGTTGTAGTTCATCAAATCAATCTAAATGCAGAAACTGTCAGAGAAGCAGTCAGTGAGTGAGTGCGTTTAGCTTTACGCCGCTTTTAGCGATATTCCACCAGGGACACCAGAATTTGGCTTCACACAATGTACCCATGTGGGGAGTCGAATCCAGGTCTTTAACCACTGGGCTACCCCAGAGCCACTCAGAGAAGCATGACACTATTCCAGTTGTGAGACACACTCAACAAGCACATCAGGACGACCAGGAGATCATGTGCGTCGGCCCATGTTACCTCACAGTGAGTTAATATATAAAACCACGTGTCATTATATCTACCTGAATTTTAAATGCTGAATAATAGTTTATTTTGTGGCTAAACCTACGACAATTGCCAGTAACTAGTGATAGGTGTAAATATGACTGGGGAACCGTGTAGTTGGTTGAAGAACCGTAATACCGTGGTCTCTCTTATGGTGTCCTTGCATATGTGGCTGGCGAGCTCTAGCCCCGTTTTTATCTATCGGTGCCAAATGCTCAGGTTTTATGTTCTATAACTAAAACCTTTTAAACTAAACATGAGATATAATGCTAGTTGCTTTATCTGTCCATCGATGACAGTCTTTAAAGTGACCATACAAAAGTACAAATGTTTAACTTTATCAAGTCACAATATGGCTGAAATACTTCCGACGTGACTTAAATCAAACTCACTCACTCACAGTTAATGAATGTACAAACTGTCACGTTAGTTAATGGTTGTGCCAGTGACCTTGATGGATCTCGGCCATCCTCATCACAATGCGAAAATGTTCGTCCAGTCTTTGGGACAGAAGGGCGGTGAGGTAGCCTAGTGGTTACAGCGTTGGCACGTCACGCTGAAGACCCGGGTTCCATCCCCACGTGGTTAGAGTGGGTGAAGCCCATTTCTGGTGTTCCCCGCCTTGATATTGCTGGAACATTGCTAAAAGCGGCGTATAACCAAACTCACTCACTCACTCATTGGAACAAGCTTGATAATGGCCACAATATTTGAAGATTGAACAATATATGCCATATGCGTTTGTCCAGGCTAGTTTGTACTGGGTTAATGAAACTAACTAACTTTAGTAAATGACTGTGCCAATGGAACTTGATCGACATCTCTACACCCTCGCCGCAATGCGGATGTGTTCTCTTAGGATGTTAGCTTGGTGTCAGTGTCGTCTTCGTCATGTTTTTTGTTTCTATGTTTTCCCTTTTTCCAGCGTTTGACTACAAAGATGGTGATGATGATGGTAACAGGTGCGATGACAATGACAACCACAGCAAATATGATCCCGAGTATCATACGTGGTTGAGAGCTATCTGTATCTTGTCCGTCTGTTGTTGGATGACCTGTGAGCTGTGGAGGTGTTGTCATGATGTTAGCCTGTTTACCTGCAGGACAGTAATAGGAAACAATGATCCACGACTCACTTAATGTAAAGGCGACATAGAGGCTTAGAAACACATGCGTTATTTGAAATGGTTAGTGTAAGAAGGAACTATGCATAATTAACGGACCCAAGAGGATCCGTTTGGTCACTACTTCACAGTTGTTGGTAGTCTTCCAGCCACTTGGGCCCTTTAGAATTGTTCTTCAGTAACCCATGCTTGTCGTAAGAGGCGACTAATTGGTTGATACATGTCATCGTATCCCAATTGCGTAGAACGATGCCCATGCTGTTGATCACTAGATTGTCTGGTTCAGCCGCGATTATTTACAGACCGCCGCCATATAGCTGGAATGTTGCTGAGTGCGACGTAGAACATGTTACTGCTAGTGGAAGGAGCAACTGCACATGGGTGTAGGAAGGGTGCATTATGAAACTAATACAATACTAGCAAAGTTTCAGATGTTCTTGCCCTGTGGTGTTGGTGGGGTAGTATTGCGGTTGAAACGTTCGCTCGTCACACTGAAGATCCGTGTTCGATTCCCCACATGGGTACATTGTGTGAAGTCCATTTCTGGTGACACCCATTGTGATAATGCTGGAATATTGCTAAAGCATAGTAAAACCTCACTCACTCACTCACTCTCACTCACTCACTCACCTGCTCACCCACCTACCCACTCACTCACTTACTCACTCGGGGCGGCGTGGTAGCCTAGTGTTTAAAGCGTTCGCCCGTCACGCCGAAGAGCCGGTTCGCTTCCCCACATGGGTACAATGTATGAAGTCCATTTCTCGTGATATTGCTGGAATACTGATAAAAGCGGCGTAAAACTAAACTCACTCACTCACACTCCCTCACTCACCTATCCACTCACTGACTCACTGAGACAATTTGTTCTTACCGAGAACCAGCCGCTTTATCCCCTCACAGAGTAGGTTCCAACTGCTGCCACTACAATTGTAGATCAAACTGACCTCCCCGGCGTGTGAGCTTGTTACGTTGAACACTTTGGTAAGTGTTCCATCTTCGATATCGGTATCCGTGGTGATAACAGAGCTGATGTTCCCTGTCCTCAACTGAAGCAGCAAAGACTGAGGGCAGTCGCTTCTCGAAAGGTTCACCGTCAGTGTTAGGGTATCCCCTTCACTGAGTAGGCTGGCGTTCTTGTCACTTGTTATGTAACACGTTGGTCCTTCTGAAAAATAATATACACCGGACATGATGAACAATGATGAACAGCATCCCCTTCACTGAGTAACCTGGCGTTCTTGTCACTTGTTATGTAACACGTTGGTCCTTCTGAAAAACAATGTCGGTTTAGAGAGAGTCAATTTACACTAAAACCTGATATTATATAGGAGCAAATTCGGTCGGTTCTCAGGGGATGTCAGAATAGAGGGAGGTTGGTTTAGAAGGAGTCCACTGTAATACTTGTGCAGCTTCTCTTGCGAAAACAATAATGTACCTGTACCAGGGTTATGCTTACATTGAGACGTTAACACAAAGTGCAACTGTTCATACCTACCGGAAACAGACACGTGACAAGTCTCCTGGTGGGGAGCATCTGCATCAGCCCCACATTTCCAATCACCTTCGTTCGACTGTAGCGTCCTATGTATAGTGAGAACACTGCAGGTTGGGTTGATGACTGATGCATTGAAGTTACTATATGGTATACAATACCCTTCTGTCAGGCTACACGATGCTGCAGGAGCTCCACCTGGTGTTGTGTAGGAGTGGGCATTGGAACTAATACAACAAGTCAGATCCACCGACGAGTTCAATAGAGCCATTTCCGGACATTGAAAACTGGGTGTACCTTTGTGAAAGTATTCCTGAATTAGGTACATTATTATTTGACACTATATTATCCTGACGACGTACATGCTGCGGTGGGGTAGCCTAGTGGTTAAAGTGGTTGCTCGTCACGTCGAAGACGCGGGCTAGATTCCCCATATGGGTACAATTTGTGAAGCCCATTTCTGGTGATGGTATGCCCAGCTGTGATATTGCTGGAATAGTGCTAAAAGAGTCGTAAAACTAGACACACTCACTTAAATAACTGGGCGGTGGGATAGCCTAGTGGTTAAAACTTCCGCTCGTCACACTGAAGACCCGGGTTCGATTCCCCAAATGGGTACAATGTATGAAGCCCATTTCTGTTTCTCCCTGCTGCGATATTGCTGTAATATTGCTAAAATCTCACTCATCTTTGAATAACTTCATATTATACAAGGGGCGATTGGGTAGCCTAGTGGTTAAAGCGTTGGCTCGTCACGCCGAAGACCCGGGTTCGAATCCCCACAAGGGTACAATGTGTGAAGCCCATTTCTGGTGTTCCCCGCCGTGATGTTGCTTGAATATTGCTAAAAGCGGCGTAGAACCAAACTCAGTCAGTCAGTCATATTATACAAAGCCGGATGTATGATAAATGAAGGGGTAGGGAATATATAATTATATGAATATATATCGAGAAATGAAATATAACCTACAGGAAACGGTTGTCATCCAAAGGAAAATCAACATGATAGGTTGCAGGTTTCCGACACCCAGGCTCCTCCTCTGAAGGACTGACATCTGTAAACACATTGATGGAGATCTGTATGGTACACACTTGAAAAAATGAAGTGATCGTGGAATATGATCCATACATTATGTGCTCGTGCTTGCAGTTGTAAAGCGGTTGTTAAGTTGTCAGTTTGTATTAAATTCTTTAATCATGTATATTTGCTTCTTCCACTAAACATTTCAAGTAGCACGTGTTTCCCAGCTGCTATATCGTAATTATATTTCATAGCGGGTAGTGGGTCTTTGTTTCCTATTACTGTCCTAAAAATAATAGTGAATTAGGCTTCTAGAATTATATATGACAACGGTCTGTAAATAATCGAGTCTGGACCAGACAATCAAGTGATCAACATCATGAGCATCGTTCTACACAATTGGGATACGATGACATGTATCAACCAAGTCAGCGATCCTGACCACCCGATCCCGTTAGTCGCCTGTTACGACAAGCATGGGTTGCTGAAGAACAATTCTAATCCGCCTCTTCAAGGGCCCAAGTGGCTGGAAAACTACCACCAACTGACCTGACGGATCCGGATCTTCTCGGGTCTGTTAATTATGCATAGTTTCATCATCCACTAAACATTTCAAATATCGCAGGTGTTTATAGGCCTTTATGTCGCCGTAACATTAAGTGAGTAGTGGATCAGTGTTTCCTATTACTGTTCTGCAGGTAAACAGGTTAACATCATGACAACAGCCACACAGCTCACATGCCATCCGACAACAGATGGGCTGGAGACAGAGATCTCTCGATGTGGTTTTGAACTTTGTATAATTCCTATTGTTGTTGTCGTCATTGTCATCATAGCCTTCATCATCTTCATCATCAAATTTGAATTCAAAGGCAGGGGAAAGGAGGAAACACATAGAAACAAAGAAAACAAAGATGACTCTGAAGCAAACACCCGAAGAGAACACAACCACATTGTGACGAGGATCAAGACAATCCAGTGATTAACATCGTTCGAGAAGTTTCTGGATGGATCTGCTTCTAGGATGATGGAGCATGAAACTCGACCTGACCACTCATCATCTGACCAAGCCTGTGTGAGCCTGTGTGAAATCATCGGCTTCCTAACGCCACTGACACAATGTAGGTTTGAAGAAAGGAAGCTGTGCTCTCTCAAGACACCAAGCAGTGTATTTAATAATAATAATAATAATATCCAGGGCGTCATGGCAAATGATGCTCTCAAACTTCTCTGGAATAGGCCCATATACAGCCTCAGAAGAATTCCTGCCAACAAACCTGATCTTGTCCTTTTTGATAAAACCAATGAGTTTATTTATATCATTGAATTTTCTGTCCCTTTTGACACCAGTGTGATTGGCAAGATTCAGGAAAATCATGATAAATATGCGGACCTCGCCTTTGAAATGTCTCGCTTGCATCCCAAGTACACTGTCGCCAGGCTCCCCATTGTTCTCGGTGCCCTTGGTTTGGTACCTCCTGATCTCTTGGCGCAGATCAGGAGAGTGCCCAGATTCTCTACCTGGGAGTACAGCCCTTCTGACACTCTGGGTAATGCAGAATGCTGCAGTGTTGGGGAGCCTTCATATTCTCCAGAAAGTTCTTGGTGGGTTCAACTAGGCAGCGTTTCATGGGAGAAGTCCCATTCGCTGTCTGGGCTGCGTGTAGAAGGGGCAAGGGCCCTGAGCTGATGATGAGCCTTACCAGCCTGACTGTGCCAGGATCACCCGAACCCTCTCTGCTGCATACTATCTTTAATCTGTAAAACATAATATAATAATAATATAGCGCTGAGTTCCAGCTAGGGTGCTCACAGGAACTTCACATAGTCTCGTAATATCAGTTTCTGGTACCAGCACACATCCTTCTTGGCGGCGGAAAGCCTTACAGAGGCTGCAGTAAGAGGAAGTTTGTTCAAGAGAGTGGGGAATGCACAAGGAGATATTTATCCCGTGATCTCAAAAGCCTGGATGGAGCATGTTTGGTCAGAAGTGACAAGAGGTATTTGAGGGAGTGGTCATTCTCCAGAATCGTGTAGGCGATGGTCAGCAGGTTGAAGATGATTTGCTTGGGAACAGGGAGCCAGTGCAGCTGTTGGAGAACTGGTGTTATATGCTGCGTCTTTGGGCATTATATTTGGAAAATTTGTGAGTCCATTTATTTCGTTTGTAATTGCTCTTCTAGATTATTTTACCTAATGCATTGCCTGGTTATGCCTATGCCATTTATATCTAATTTTTCTTAGGTTGTCGGCCGATACGGGGGCATCGGTGGATTTCACCGATGTTACGGCGTACGGCAGATGTTTTGCCCACATCTGTGTCACATCGGTGCAGTAGTCACAAAACCAAGGATGACTGGAAGATACCCTTCCAGTCCTTGACAGGTGCCTGGCAGGATATCTGAAGTATTCAGGAAACATGGAAGGCTCAAATCGTCAAGTGACTGACAGGTCATCTGGCTGGAATCAGCCGGTCATCCCCTGATACCCGGACGGGATCCGTCCGATGTAAACCAAATCCTTCGTTTCCCGAGCAGCCGCAGGTCGATTAACATTGCCCGGTTCCCGCTTGCTAGAAATGGAGCCCGCTCAGTGCCCGGTGAATCAAAGTTGGTGTTTGACTGCAAGACATGTCTTTAAATCCATTTTAAGTCATTTCAGTAGGCATAAAGTGCAAAGGGAGCTGTTGCGTGTCTCATGTTGGTAGAGGAGTTGGTGGAGGAGGTGCCAGACCCCATGGGAGAGAGGGAGGATGTGGAGGATGCGGCAAGAATGATACCAGTTCGGTGCCTGTTCGATGTTTGCCCAGACTATGGTTGGTCACCTTCCGACTTAGTTTAATCATACAGTCTACGAAAGGAAACAATCACAATCTGAGTATTGATCGATTCCCGGCAGACAACCTTTCTGTTATCCTCCGGTGACCATACCACACCAGCGCACTGAAACACCCGTACGACTGGCTGGCGGTTAGGCAGGTGCCTGTAGGGTCACTGTTGGGTTGCTGGCAGATGTGCCACAGATCCGTTACCAATGGAAGTATGGACCAACGGTCGCCGTGAGAAAGTATTATTTTCTTACGATTTGTTCACGATGTATCAGCATTGTCTTTCCGATCTCAAACACAAAGCCGATGCCCACGGGTGATCGTCCAGCTCTCCGTCTCTACCGGGCATCGTATCATGGCAAAAGTGGATATGTGACCTCTATAGGCATTATCAGGCTCGCTGACTTGGTTGACACATGACTTGTCATCGTAGCAGTTTGCGTAGATCGAGGCTCATGCTTTTGATCACTGGATTTTCTGTTGCAGATTCAATTATTTACAAACCACCAAAATAAAACTGGAATACTGCTGAGTGCGGCGTTAGGCAACAGACTGACATTGGTACACTTTAAACTATGGTTCCGAATTGCTGGAATATTGCTAAAAGCGGCATAAAACTGAATTCACCACCTCACTCTTATAAGCTCACCGACATCCGCTAACATGTAGTAAAAAACACAGTAGATTTGACTGCTCAGGTCGGTAGACAATATTCGGCGACAATATTCGGGTCACTTCCTCGTGATAACGTTTTCATTGACATATGATTGTTGTCCAACATGAATGCAATGGCAGGACAAAGAGTTGTACAACATGTATCAAACATTCCCGAAAACACTGGTTGTAAGGAAAATGCCTGTATCTGTCCTATATACTGCAAACTGGTTTTACTCAG